CCCCCCCACCTCCCTTGAACTCATCACCATTGTGGCTTCATCCCAATGGCCCTTTTTGTTGTTGTTGTTAGTTGCAAAGTCATGTCCGACCCATCGCGACTACATGGACCACGTTCCTCCAGGCCTTCCTGTCCTCTACCATCCTCTGGAGTCCATTTAAGCTCACACCAACTGCTTCAGTGACTCCATCCAGCCACCTCCTTCTCTGTCGTCCCCTTCTTCTTTTGCCCTCCATCGTTCCCAGCATTAGGCTCTTCTCCAGGGAGTCCTTCCTTCTCATTAGGTGGCCAAAGGATTTGAGTTTCCTCTTCAGGATCTGGCCTTCTAAAGAGCAGTCAGGGTTGATCTCCTCTAGGACTGACCGGTTGGATGGCCTTGCGGTCCAAGGGACTCGCAGGAGTCTTCTCCAGCACCAGAGTTCAAAGGCCTCCATTCTTTGGCCCTCAGCCTTCCTTATGGTCCAACTTTCACAGCCATCCATTGCAACTGGGAAAACCTTCGCCTTGACTATACGCTCTTTTGTTGGCAGGGTGATGACTCTGCTTTTTAGTACGCTGTCTAGATTTGCCATGGCCCTTGTTTCGTGCCAAACGGAGCGTTCTTTGTCACACTCCGTTCTCCAGGTGCCTTGCCTTGACCTCTGGTGCCCTGATTGCAAACTCTGGGACCTGTCTGTGTGGGAACCTGACCCCTTGAGGCTTCTGCAAACAAAACTGTGATCATGGGTGATGATGATGCCAGCAAATAATTCACAACCAGGTGTTTCCCAGCCTGGCCTGAGATCGAATGGGGGGCGGAGGGGGGGAGTTGCTTGCCCAGAAAAGCGACTCTCATCCATTCCAGGCCGAAATCAAAAACTGGATTATTTCTCCAACAGCAGGTAGCTCTCCCTCCCTCCCTGTAGCTTTGCAAAGAATGGTGGCTGCTTTTTGTAAACCGAGATGGGAAGAAAAGTTAAGGGACTTCCCTCTAAAGGCTCCTCAGTGGGAAGAAGGGAAACCAGCCTGGGAAACTGAGACCAGGTCTCCGGGGAGAAACATTAAACCACTGTTACAGGAGAGGTCAGGGAGAGAAGTCTTCGCCAACGCTCCAAGAGCTGTTAATTTCATTTACAAGCCAGCCGTCTGCTTTTAAGTCAACACCGGCTGGCAATTAGTTATTAACCACTGAGGACTGTGGGAAACTCTCCATCCTGCTTCAGGACCCAAACCCAAAGGCAGCCCAGAGCTTCAAAGCCCAGCATCCCATCATCCCCAGATCCTTTCCCCTTGCAAGTTTTTCTCTCTCCCTGCCGGTGCAGCGGAAAAGGATTTTTTTTAAAAGCCTCTCTCTGCTGAAGGCCCTTGTTGACGCAGATGGCTCCAGATGGCTGAGCTTACTTTCCCCCCAAAAAAACAGCCCGAGATGAAGTTCGCAAGCAGCGGTCTTTGGCCAAGGGCTTTTCATCGAGAGATTAATAAACCCCGGAGGGGTGGGGGGGAAAAAAACGGGCCATCCCTCTACCTTTCATTCTTTTCCAACGTATCAGTGATGGCCTGCTGGTAATCCAAACTCAGCCGTGCCAGTGATTTACTTTAAGGAATGCCAGCCGGGCTTTTTTTTTTAAAGAATGACGCCATTCCTCATCTGCCTCCCTGTTTTCACCTTTGCTATTTAATTCGGCTTTCCGGGCCGACAACGTCTGTGCTAGTTGCACTGGTGGAGATCCGTCTCTCTTCGCTTCCACTCGTTTGTTTGTTTTTTTTCTCCCCCCCTGTAAATATTTATTTTCGCCTGCTTGCCAACTTCAGAGTTAATGTTGTCAAGATTGCCCCGGTGTTGGCAGATAATAATAACTAACGCTCACAAACTGATCTTGGCTGTTTTAACCGGAGAGCTACCAGAGCCAGGCAAGGCTCTAGATCTCATGATTTGGAACGAAGAAGTGGATAGGATAAGCTGCTGCTTTACATTAGCCTTGTCTGCACCAACTGCTTTTTTTAAAATTTCCTTCTCTCTCTTTCTCCTTCCCACCCTCTTTTCACTTCTGGTTTGTGAATCTAATTCACCTCCAGCAAGTTAAAAATCATGGCATGTGAAAGGGAGGCATTCCCCCCCCCCAAATTCCGTGCCCATCCATTTTCTCTTTCGTGCTGTGCCGTTTCAAGGCTGATCACTGATCGGTGGCAATTGTTTTGGAAAACCACGTTTTAAGCAATGGCCCCCTCCACTTAAACCTTTCCTCCCACACCTCTTTGACTTAACTAGGAAACGTGGTACCTTCCTCAAATAAGACCCTGTCTTATTTTTTATTTTTTTTTGAACCCTGAAGTAAGCGCTTGGCCTTATTACCAGGCGCTCAAAAGCCCGATTGGGCTTATTCTCAGGGGAGGGAAACAGGGTAGTAACTGTGAGAGGGATTTTGGAGTCCTGGTGGACAATCACTTAAATATGAGCCAAAAACATGAACAGCTGCCGAAAGAAGCCAACACAGTTCAGGGCTGCATCAACAGAGGGATAGAATCAAGATCACGGGAAGTGTTAATATCACTTTATAAAGCCTTGGTAAGGCCACACTTGGAATCCTGCATCCAGTTTTGGTCGCCACGATGTAAAAAAGATGCTGAGACTCTAGAAAGAGTGCAGAGAAGAGCAACCAGGATGATTTTTTAAAATTTTTTTTATTTATATGCCGCCCTTCTCCGGAGACTCAGGGTGGCTTACAATGCGTTAAGCAATAGCCTTCCTACTTTTGTATATTTTATACAAAGTCAGCTTATTGCCCCCACAATCTGAGTCCTCATTTTACCTACCTTAGAAAGGATGGAAGGCTGAGTCAACCTTGAGCCTGGTGAGATTTGAACTTGCAGTAATTGCAGGCGGCTGATGTTAATAACAGTGCTTTAGTCTGCCACGCCACCAGGCTCTGTGGGGACTGGATTAGGGGACTGGAGGCTAAAACATACGAAGAACGATTGCAAGAACTGGGAATGTCTAGTTTAATGAAGAGAAGGAGTAGGGAAGACATGATAGCAGGGTTCCAATATCTCAGGGGCTGCCCCAAAGAAGAGGGAGTCAAGCTATTCTCCAAAGCCCCTGAAGCAGGACAAGAAGCAATGGATGGAAACTAACTCAAGGAGAGAAGCAACCTAGAACTAAGGAGAAACTTCCTGACAGTGAGAACAATTAATCGGTGGAACAACTTGCCTGCAGAAGTTGTGAATGCTCCAACACTGGAAGTTTTTAAGAAGAGGTTCGATAACCATTTGTCTGAAGTGGTGTAGGGTTTCCTGCCTAAGCAGGGGGTTGGACTAGAAGACCTCCAAGGTCCCTTCCAACTCGGTTATTCTATTCTATATCCCTCAGAAGGGCCAATCCATATTTTCAAATTCAGTCTTCTGGGAGACGAACACACCCACAGCCCAGCCCTACTGCAAAGTCAATAAATGATTCACCGCTCTTATAAACCTCTCTACCCGTTTCTCCCAAAAAAGAACTCCAGTTTCCGCCTTTTGCAAGCAGCTGGACTCTGGGCAGGAACGCAAGCAAGCTCGTGCCCGTTTCTTGGGCTTCTTGAGGGCATCTGGGATGAGGTCAGGCTGGGGAGAGTGGCCCCACCCAAGATTGCGGCTGGCTAGAAAGAGAGAGAAGCAGCGATGGGAATTCTTTTCCTCATTCTTCCTGCTGTCGGTAATCGCAGAGCCACATTTTTGTGTTTGTTCTAAGGTCCCGCTGAAAAAATGCCAGGCACCAGACACAGATCATTAATTCCTGCCTGGAAACTCAGTCCTCAATAAGACTTTGTTCAGGTTTCTCACTTCTAACCCCTTTGCAATCAATACCTAATCCATAAAAACTAGGTTAAGGATAGATCCCCAGGGAGAAAATCCGTCTTATCTGCCTGCTAACAGTCAACATTGAACTGATGGGCACCTAATTATGTATCCGACATGTCTAACGGGTTTTTATGGGACATTTTTTTCCTCTTCCCTCCTCATCCTCATTCCTATGCTGTTACGACAAGAGGCCGCGTTTCAAAAGCAAGTTCCTTTGCCACCGGCAAGGCTAGCACAGGTGTTCAAAAACATGTCCACCAAATGTTGGAAATGCAATCAGATACCGGGCTCGTACTATCATATGTGGTGGACATACCCAAAGGCCAAAAAATATATATATACTGGTCGAAAATACATAACATGGTTAGAGAAAATGATATAGATCTTAAAGCCAGAGATATTTCTGTTAGGTATATTACCAGAAAAATATGACAAAGGGGTTGTATATGTAATATTACATGTGTTGACAGCAGCAAGAATTGTATTTGCACAATATTGGGAAAAGAAGGAAATTCCTACAGATGAAAACATAATTTAAAAAATATTAAGTGTGCGGAAATGGATAGGTTAACGTTAAAAGGATAAAGAAGATACAGAATATTTTTTAACATGGGACTTGTTTTACAAATGGTTAGATAATAAAGGTAGAAATTAGAAGTTGGAGGAATACCACTATATACAAGTAACTATTGCTACTATTATTGATATTATGTATAAGTACTATTCAATTACTATTAATCTTCTCATCGTTCCTATCACCCATCTCCTCCCACTAATGACTGTATGACTGTAACTTGTTGCTGTATCCTTATGATTTATATTCTATCTATCTATCTATCTATCTATCTATCTATCTATCTATCTATCTATCTATCTGATTGTTTCCTAGTATCATTCGATTGCTTATTTGTACCCTATGACTATCATTAAGTGTTGTACCTTATGATTCTTGATGAACGTATCTTTTCTTTTATGTACATGAGAGCAGATGCACCAAAGACAAATTCCTTGTGTGTCCAATCACACTTGGCCAATAAAGAATTCTAATCTAATCTAATTAAATTGACCCAGACAATGCACTGTTTATTAAGCAGTCATTTATGTTAAAGAAAAATGTACAAATAAAATGTATATTTAAAAAAAAATAAGCAAGTTTCTTTTTCCCATCCTTCCCTTTGGCTGTAGGAGGAATTCAGGCGACGGGCCAGGTGGAAAGAAGCGCTGGCTCAAAGGCTGCAGCAACCCAGTGATAGGTGGCAACTTCGCATGAAGTTCCTCCGGCAGGCACAGAGCTACATTGGCACGCCGTACGCCAAGAAATACCATCAGCCTGGAAGTAAGAACCATATTCCAGAGCCGACAGGCAAAAGATGACGCCCGTAACATGGGCACAATTGGGCGGGGATCTCCATCTCACTTAACCAATGTTTCATTTAGCAACATAAATTTCGGGCTCTATTGCGGTCATAACTATATTTTGCTATTTTTCTCCATAGCTAAAAGATGAATAGAAGCAATTCCTCCTTTGGTTTTTTTTTATTCTTTGCTCAATCACCCCAGAGCCAGAGGTGGGCTGCTGGAGGTTCGCAAGGGTTCGGGAGAACCTCTAGCTAAGATTCTATGCAGTTCAGAGAACCCCAAAATCCCACTCCTGGCTGGCCCCACCCATCCCTCCCCTCCCCTCCCAGGAGTCCCCACACAGCCCATTTTGGATGCAAGTAAGTGCAGGGCACACACGGAGGCTCGGGGAGGGTGAAAAACGGGCCTACCGGAAGTTCACACCTGTTTTCAGCCTCCAGAGGGCCTCCAGAGCCTGGGGAGGCCTTTTTCGCCCTCCCGGAGGCTCAAGGAAAGCCTCCGGAGCCTGGGGAGGGCAGAAACGTGTCCCCCCTCCCTGCAGGAGTCTGACTAGGCCACACGCACTATGGCCACACCCACCCAGCAACTGGCCACGGTTTGTTAAACGAATCACCAAGCCAACCCATCTTTTCCCCCTCTTGACTTTGCTTGTCAGAAGCCAGCTAGGGAGTTTGCAAAGGATGCTGTGTCCATCCCTACAGGTGGGTTGCCAAGCGCCCGCATTTTGATCACGTGACCTGAGGATGCCGGGATGATCAAAAGCATGAGAAGCGTTGATCAGTGCCATTTTAACTGTGTTTTTAATCCTCGTCTTTGCAGCCACCCAAACCCAAGGATATTCTGATCTTTGGGATGGTACCAGTGGTGAAGTCCAATTTTTTTTTACTACCGGTTCTGTAGGCGTGGCTTGGTGGGCGTGGTGTGGCTTGGTGGGCGTGGCTTGGTGGGTGTGGCAGGGGAAGGATATTGCAAAATCTCCATTCCCACCCCACTCTGGGGCCAGCCAGAGATGGTATTTGCCAGTTTTGTTTTTGTTTTTATTGGATTTATATACCGCCTTACTCCCGAAGGACTCAGGACGGTGAACAGCCACAGAATAAAACACATAAATACAAAAATTTAAAATAGAATAGAAACGAATTAAATAATTTGGCTAAGACAAATTTAAAATACCCAATAATTTAAAAACAAATTAAAATTTACATTTAAAGGGGAAAAGATTTAGGCTAGGCCAGCTTGATGAAATAAGAAAGTCTTGAGCGTGCGACGGAAGGTACGCAGATCCGGGATCCTCCATATCTCCGGGGGGAGCTCGTTCCAGATCGTAGGTGCCCCCACAGAGAAGGCTCTCCCCCTGGGGGCCACCAGTCGACATTGTTTGGCCAACGGCACCCGGAGGAGCCCCTCTCTATGGGAGCGTACTGGCCGGTGGGAGGCTATTGGTGGTAGCAGGCGGTCCCGTAGTAGTTCTCCGAACTGCTCAAAATTTCCACTACCAGTTCTCCAGAACCTGTCAGAACCTGCTGGATTTCACCCCTGGATGGTACTGATGCCCAAATTTCTGATGACTTCCCCCTCCCCATTTAATTTTCGCATGTTCCAGGTCCTGAATACGAATCTCCCCTTTTCCTGGATTGTTGTGGGCTCATCCGGAGAGCAGTGCAAGATTTGGCGGATGATTTTGGCTTCTACATGGGCTCGGGCAACCAAGCCTATCAGTATGACACTCTTCCTCTGACGCTACCCAGCGAGGAGCATTTGAAGCCCGGCGATCTCATCTTCATCTCGGGAGTTTATTTTGATCCACAACGTAAGTGTCTTCCGTGGGACCCGCTTCCTTCCCTGCTCTCCCGTTCTCCCGTCTGCCTCTCCTTTACGGAAAACAGATCACGAATTCTCCCGAGGTCTCCCGGTTTGATTGAAGAAAAGGTTAGGGTATGGATTTACAGAAACCCAGGACTTAGTTGGGGTATCCAATGATGTAGCTGGATCTGTGATCCAGTTGGGCAGGATCCGATGCTAAAAAGATCTTGGAGACACTTCCAGATTTCCAAGCTGGGTAACGTCATCAGCGCTGCCTGCCCAGGCGTTATTTTGCTCCCTTCTTTGCAGGTAAGAGGCAACCCCACGACATCGTCCATGTGGAAATCTGGTTGGGGGACGGAGAACGCAGTCTGGGGGCCAGGAGGAAGCACGGCCGAGCCCAGGTCTTTGATTCCTACAGGTTCGTCTCCAGCTCCTACGGAGACATGAAATACCACTTCAAGTCCATTGAGACGTGGCTGCAAGGCGTTTGTGTCAGGTAAGCATCTCTCAGGAGGCGTCTTGCCATCCGATCTCTCTGTAACGTTTTGTTTTTTTTTAATGGTGGGGCTCCACATCCAGCCAGGCGGATTATTGAGTGCCTATTTCCAGATTTGATTTATTTATTTTTTTAAATTTATATGCTGCCCGTCTCGCCTAGAGATATCTATCAACCAGGTAGGACGGAGAACAGCTTACCCTCCATCATTTAAATATGAGCCAGCCGTGTGCAGCAGTTGCCAAAAAAGCCAACACAGTTCTAGGCTGCACACACAGAGGGATGGAATCAAGATCACGTGAAGTGTTGATACCACTTTATAAGGCCCTGGTAAGGCCACACTTGGAATCCTGCATTCAGTTTTGGTCGCCATATTATAAAAAAGATGTGGAGACTCTAGAAAGAGTGCAGAGAAGAGCAACAAAGAGGATTAGGGGACTGGAGGCTAAAACATATGAAGAACGGTTACAGGAACTGGGTTTTGTCTAGTTTAATGAAAAGAAGGACTAGGGGAGACATGATAGCAGTCTTCCAATATCTCAGGGGCTGCCCCAAAGAAGGAGGAGTCAAACTATTCTCCAAAGCACTTGAAGGCAGGACGAGAAGCAACGGGTGGAAACTGATCAAGGAGAGAAGCAACTTAGAACTAAGGAGAAATTTCCTGACAGTGAGAACAATTAACCAGTGGAACAACTTGCCACCAGAAGTTGTGAATGCTCCAACACTGGAAGTTTTTAAGAAGAGGTTGGATAACCATTTGTCTGAAGTGGTGTAGGGTTTCCTGCCTAAGCAGGGGATTGGACTAGAAGACCTCCAAGGTCCCTTCCAACTCTGTTATTCCATTCTTTTCTATGGCCCTAATCCATCTTCTTTCATCCCGGAATTTCTCAAAACAGGTGGATTACCAAGCCCAGAATTCCCAGCTGCCTGGGTAATTCTGGGAATGGACCCCCATGGATCTGGGCTCTTCTGACCAAGGAGCGAAATCTTATAGCAAGGAGTAGACGGAGGAAGCAATCAAAAACTGGCTTTACGTATAATTATTATTTAAAGGCAGGGCTTTTTAAAAAAAACTTCCATCCTTAACTCATCGCAGACCGTTATGCTAAAAATTCATTGAATTCACATACCTGAGAATAGAATTGAAAGAGTGTACTTTTGTATGTGTGTCTCCGTGAGCGTGTGTGTACAGACGCATCCCTTTGAAAGTCACTATTGTCATTCTTTTGGCATCCCCGCACCATATAATTCTCCTCTACTGGCACCTCTGGGAATGTTTGACACCCACCATTGTTCCTGGCAATTTGAGATGTGCCAGTCCTCGTCCTGCCTCCCTTCTCCTCCGCCAGGCCTTCATCTGCAGCTTGAAATCCAAAGGTGTCATTACAATTTCAAAGGCCTCGCCTGAACAGCCGTTTAGCACTTGCCACTCACAAAGGCAGCAGTGAATAATGATCGGGTTGGTTGGAGTCAGGCGGGTGAGATTCAGGCACGGAACACTTTACAAACAGAATATCTGCAAGCCAGATTATCTATCTATCTATCTATCTCTATCATCTCTCTCTATCATTATCATCACTTCTATCATCTATTTAATTTACCTCTCTGTATCATCTATCTGTCTGTCTATCTACCTATTTATCATACCTCTATCTATCTATCTATCTATCTATCTATCTATCTATCTATCTATCATCTATCTATCTATCTATCTATCTATCTATCTATCTGTCATCATCTATCTATCATCTATCTGTGTCTGTCTAGCCATCCAGCCATCCAGCCATCCAGCCATCTATCATCATTATCTATCTATCATCTATCTATCTTCTATCTATCTATCATCTATGTATCTATCATCATTATCTATCTATCTATCATCTATCTATCATCAATCTATCTATCTATCTATCTTCTATCTATCTATCTATCATCTATCTATCTATCATCATTATCTATTATCTATCTTCTATCTATCATCTATCTATCATCTATCATCTATCTATCTATCTATCTATCTATCTATCTATCTATCTATCTATCTATCTTCTATCTATCTATCTATCTATCATCATTATCTATCTATCTATCTATCTATCTATCTATCTATCTATCTATCTATCTATCTATCTATCTACTTACCTACCTACCTACCATCTTTCACCAGGAAAGAAAAAAAATCACTTGGAACAGATCAGTTATCTGGCATTTTTAAAACTGAAGTCAATATTTTTTTCACATCAAGGGAGTTCCAAACAGGAAGCAATACTCCTTCCTTCCTAAGGTGCCTTTTTTCCCACCTATATTTCCTCCTGGTCTTATTTTATAGCACACCTGAACAACAGTCCTGCGAGGACAACCTACCCAATCCCCCTTCCTTTTCCAAAAGATTTGGTCTGCAGTTCACTTCCCTGGAATTCTAGCTTAAATGGACACCTGTCAGCTCAAGCCAGGGATTAAAAATCCCACCCCGAGTCACTAGATATCAGATAGCACATAAATATAATTCTATAAATAAAAATAAAGCAAAATAACCAGATGGAAAAGATGCATGTGATGCCAAAGTCCCACACCTGTACAAAACGGGTTGTTTTACACTTGCTCCTGGGGAGGAAGGCTATGGCAAATCTAGACAGCATCCTAAAAAGCAGAGACATCACTCTGCCAACAAAAGAGCGTATAGCCAAGGCTACGGTTTTCCCAGTTGCAATGTCTGGCTGTGAAAGTTGGACCATAAGGAAGGCTGAGGGCCAAAGAATGGAGGCCTTTGAACTCTGGTGCTGGAGAAGACTCCTGCGAGTCCCTTGGACTGCAAGGCCATCAAACCGGTCAGTCCTAGAGGAGATCAACCCTGACTGCTCCTTAGAAGGCCAGATCCTGAAGAGGAAACTCAAATCCTTTGGCCATCTAATGAGAAGGAAGGACTCCCTGGAGAAGAGCCTAATGCTGGGAACGATGGAGGGCAAAAGAAGAAGGGGACGGCAGAGAAGGAGGTGGCTGGATGGAGTCACTGAAGCAGTCGGCGTGAGCTTAAATGGACTCCAGAGGATGGTAGAGGACAGGAAGCCCTGGAGGAACGTTGTCCATGGAGTCGCGATGGGTCGGACAGGACTTTGCAACTAACAACAACCTCCTTAGAGATACAATACCTCCCACTACAAGAATTCATGGCTCATTCAGAAGCTGAGCATCACTAGAGCCCTGCCCTGCTTTTGATCTCCCACAATGCCCCTGATAGCCACAGAGCGGGGCATTGTGGGAAAGCCCAACCGACAGGCAGAGACACACCCCACACAGGATCAGATGCGGGACTGGAGCCAAAGGGAGAGCCAGAGAAGGACTTTGCTCTCTTTCTCCGGCTGCTTCAAGGGGAAGGTTCACACACCTCCACCTGGCCGGCCTCCGACTTCCCCGGCGGGAATTTCTCCCGGCACCAGCAACGGTTCCTAAGCAGCCGTTGCTAGGAAACAGGCTCTTGTTGACAGCACCCAAGGCTGCCTGCACCCTCACCTGGGGGGGGGGGTGCGGGAAACGCAGCTGTCTGAATTTGGATGCTTGGAGATCCGGCCCAGGGGACGAGAGAGCATTGCTGTGGAAGCCCTGTCGAATTTCATCATGGCTGATCGGAAAAACACGCTCTCTAGAGCAGTCTCTGAGCATGTAGGGCACGCCAAAGCAAGGTTAGACTTCGGTTATTCCTCTTTTTCTCCTTGCTCCCTGTCAAAACAACCTCCCCAAAGAGCATCTGGTGGCAGCTGGTGCTTTCAAGAAATCCAAAAAGCTTTAACGGAATAACAGAGTAGGGACCTTAGTGGTCTTCTAGTCCAACTCCCGGGGACACAGTGGCTCAGTGGCTAAGACGCTGAGCTTGTCGATCGAAAGGTCAGCAGTTCGGCGGTTCGAATCCCTAGTGCCGCGTAAAGGGGTGAGCTCCCATGACTTGTCCCAGCTTTTGCCAACCTAACAGTTTGAAAGCACGTTAAAAAAAAAAATGCAAGTAGAAAAATAGGGACCACCTTTGGTGGGAAGGGAACAGTGTTCCGTGCGCCTTTGGCGTTGAGTCACGCCGGCCACATGACCACGGAGACGTCTTCAGACAGCGCTGGCTCTTCGGCTTTGAAACGGAGATGAGCACCGCCCCCTAGAGTCGGGAACGACTAGCACGTATGTGCGAGGGGAACCTTTACCTTTACCTTTAGTCCAACCCCCAGCTCAAGCAGGAGACCCTAGAGCATTCTGGACAAATCCCTTCTTAAAAAATCTCCAGTGTTGGAGCACCTATAACTTCTGGTGGCAAGCTGTTCCACTGGTTAATTGTTCTCACTATCAGGAAATTTCTCCTTAGTTCTAAGTTGCTTCTCTCCTTGGTTAGTTTCCACCCGTTGCTTCTTGTCCTGCCCTCAGGTGCTTTGGAGAATAGCTTGACTGCCTCTTCTTTGGGGCAGCCCCTGAGATATTGGAAGACTGCTATCATGTCTCCCCTGGTCCTTTCTCTGTTAGCCTAGACATACCCACTTCCTGCAATCTTTCATCATATGTTTTAGCCTCCTGCCCCTTCGTTATCTTTGTTGCTCTTCTCTGCACTCTTTCTAGGGTTCCCAACATCTTTTTTTTTTTTTTTTTTGTATTGTGATAAAAACTGGATGCAGTATTCCATGCGTGGTCTTACCCCAAGGCATTATAAAGTGGTATTAACACTTCCCTTGATCTTGATTCTGTCCCTCTGGTGATGCAGCCTAAGACTGCATTGGCTTTTTTGGCAGCTGAAGCACACCCCAAAAAATACCAAACAAACCCCGATGTAAACTCAGCTTTAAACTCAAATTTGAACTCGGTCAAAAATCTATCCGTTGCTGAAGTTCCGAATCATGCTTGCTTTGAATAGAATAGAATAGAATAGAATAGAATAGAATAGAATAGAATAGATAGAATAGAATAGGAATAGAATAGAATAGAATAGAATAGAATAGAATAGAATAGAATAGAAAATATGGAATGGGATAGGATAGGATAGGATAGAATTCTTTATTGACCAAGTGTGATTGGACACACAAGGAATTTGTCTCTGGTGCATATGCTCTCAGTGTACATAAAAAGACAAGATACATTCATCAAGAATCATAAGGTACAACACTTAGTGGTAGTCATAGGGTACAAATAAGCAATCAGATCATACTAGGAAACAATCAATATAAATCGTAAGGATGCAAGCAACAAAATTACAGTCATATAGTCATAAGTGGAAGGAGATGCATGGTGGGAACGATGAGAAGATTAATAGTAATGCAGACTTAATAACTAGTTTGATAGTGCTGAGGGGATTATATGTTTAGCAGAGTGATGGCGTTTGGGAAAAAATGTCCTTGTGTCTAGTTGTTCTGGTGTGCAGTGCTCTATAGCGTCGTTTTGAGGGTAGGAGTTGAAACAGTTTATGTCCAAGATGTGAGGGGTCTATCAATATTTTCACAGCCCTCTTTGTGACTCGTGCAGTTATACAGGTCCTGAACAGATGGTTAGTAGTAATTGTTTTACCTAACCCTAACCCTAACCTTAGTTAAAAGCCGCCTTGAAACCAGGTTCATTCCCAATTGGCTAAATCTCTTGCAAGTCTGAAACTTGGCGATGCCCCAATCCAGACACTCCAATCCCGAAAAGCCGGGTTTCTTCTGAAGGACTCGCAAAGTTGGCTAGAGAAATTGGGAGAAATCTTGAATTAAATACCGGTTCCCGTTGCTTTTTTTCCCCCTGCAGCCATTGTCCAGAACACAAATGGGCTTCAGCGAGGGATGATGTGGAGAAAAAATCTATTTTCTACCCGCCGAGCGAGCAAGATGAACCCGCAGAAGAGGACGCCGGCCCTTCCCAAAGCTGGCCTCCCTCGCAACCCGCAGATGAAGGAACGCCGGTCAGGATGGCATCCATCCCCGGATCTCTCAGTACCTGTGAACCAAGCGCTAGCGAGCAGGCGGGAGCCCTGGATCTTCAGGTGTGCTCCAGGTTGGGCTCGGAGCTCCCTGAGATAACCTTGGAGAAAACAGATGAAGATGTAGAGTCTGTCCGAGGTCGGGAGGAAGCCCTGAGTTCCAATGAAGCAGGCGGTAAGGCTGTGGCAGGAGGAGAACAGGCCCAGAGAGAAGGGGGCGAGGCAGATCCTGCGAAGACCCTCCCAGAAGATCAAGGCCGGGACACTCCTGACTCAGACAGCGACTTGGCCCGGACTTCCAGTTGCAAGGTAAAGTCCATCGGGATCTTAACGGGCCACGTCGGAAAAGGGAAAAAGGACCCGAAGTCCAGAACTCGAGACGTTCTGTGCCCTGACGGACCTCCACCGCTGGCCTCAGGTGAATCAGACGGCCTTCCTGCCAGCTAGGAGAAGGCTTGGCTTGACTTGTGGGCCGGCTGCCCACAAAAACCCAGCTCCTCTCCATATTTGAGAAATAAAGACGCTTTCCTTCCCTTCCTTCCTTCCTTCCTTCCAAGTTGTTGCCTTCCTATTTTCCTCAATGCCGTAGAGCAGGGGTGTCCAACCTTAGCAACTTTAAGCCTGGTGGACTTCAACTCCCAGAATTCTGGCTGGGGAATTCTGGGAGTTGAAGTCCTCCAGGCTTAAAGTTGTCAAGGTTGGAGACCTCTGCCCTAGAGCAGGGGTGTCAAACACAAGGCCCGTGGGCCGGATCTGGCTCGTGGGGCCAGCCTAGAAAACGTAAGGGGCTGGCCTGCGTTGCTTCAGCCCGGTCTACTCCAATGCGAAAAGGAAACATGCCAGCAGTTAGGGGAGTGGTGTCAAGCTGGCCATGCCTACCCAGTTGGCCACCCCCACCCAATTGGCCACACCCACCCAGCCCCCCCGAGGTCAACCACATCCTCAATACGGCCTTCAATGAATTGAGTTTGACACCCTTGCCCTAGAATAATGCAATGTGGCATTCTGGGGAAAATGAAGAGGGGCAGCTTCTAGGAAGGAAGCCTCGACAAGGGGCAGGATCCTCTGAGAACTATTGACAACTGTGATCACTAAGGTGGACCTGTCTGAGCCTCCAGATGTTGCCCAACTACAACTCCCAGCATCCCCATCTACTGTACGCTCCATTTACGAGGGGCTGCTGGGAGCTGTAGTTCACTTCTGGCTCATCTCAATACTGTATGGGACCTAACGTTCAATGAGTTCTTCTTTTGCTCTCATGTCCAACGGCAGAAAAAACCCACCTGGTTGGAAAGTCTATTTGGAGATTCTCATTCATCCAGGTCACAGTTGTCCCAAAGGTGCTTTTTCCAAGAGGCAACTGGACTTTCTTTCTTTTTTCTCTTTTTGAAGACGTTTCGTTTCTCATCCAAGAAGCTTCTTCAGCTCTGAAGAAACGTCTTCAAAGAAAAAGAAGAGCCTGGTGGCACAGCAGACCAATAGCCTGTTATTAAGACCAGCTGCCTGCAATTACTGCTAGTTCGAATCTCGCCAAGGCTCAAGGTCGACTCAGCCTTCCATCCTTTCTAAGGTAGGTAAAATGAGGACCCAGTTTGTGGGGGCAATAAGCTGACTTTGTATAAATATATACAAAAGTAGGAAGGCTATTGCTTAACGCACTGTAAGCCGCCCTGAGTCTCCGGAGAAGGGCGGCATATAAATCAAATTAAAACAAAAAAAACACCCAGAAAGTCCAGTTGCCTCTTGGAAAAAGCACCTTTGGGACGACATGATAGGAAAATTAACCAACTCTGATTTTTCCCTGGCTACTACATTTTAGCCTGACGACTAGAGGTGGTATTCAGCCGGTTCGCACCGGTTCGGGAGAACTGGTAGCAGCAATCACGGGTGCACCCGCCCATCCGCCCTGGCTCCAAGTTGTGCAATTTAGGCATGTTTTTGAGTCCGGGCACATGTGTGGAGAGTGAGTGAGCAAAGAGCATGTGTGGAAGACTGGGCGCATGGGTGGACAGCGTGCATGCGCGGGGCGAACCAGTGGTAAAGATAAGTGAAACCCACCCCTGCTGACGACACCTGCCTTTTTCCCTTCCTACACATCTGGTGGACAGATTGTCTCCTGACCCCTCCCCATCAGTGGTGGGTTTCAAAACTTTTTACTACCGGTTCTGTGGGTGTGGCTTGGTGCGCGTGGCAAGGGAAGGATATTGCAAAATCTCCATTCCCTCCCCACTCCAGGGGAAAGATACTGTAAAATCTCCATTCCCACCCCACTCCTGGGAGAAGGATACTGCAAAATCTCCATTCCCACCCCATCCAGGGGGAAAGGATACTGCAAAATCTCCATTCCCCCCCCACTCCAGGGGAAGGATACTGCAAAATCTCCATTCCCTCCCCACTCCTGGGAGAAGGATACTGTAAAATCCCCATTCCCTTCCTACTCCAGGGGAAAGATACTGTAAAATCTCCATTCCCACCCCACTCCTGGGAGACGGATACTGCAAAAATCTCCATTCCCACCCCACTCCAGGGGAAGGATACTGCAAAATCTCCATTCCCACCCCACTCCTGGGAGAAGGATACTGCAAAATCCCCATTCCCTCCCTACTCCAGGGGAAGGATACTGCAAAATCTCCATTCCCTCCCCACCTGGGAGAAGGATACTGCAAAATCTCCATTCCCACCCCACTCCAGGAAAAGGATACTGCAAAATCTCCATTCCCTCCCCAATTCCAGGGGAAGGATACTGCAAAATCCCCATTTCCTCCCGATCAGCTGGGACCTGGGAGGCAGAGAATAGATGTGGGTGGGGCCAATCAGAATTTTTACTACCGGTTCTCCGAACTAACTCAAAATTTCCGCTACCGGTTCGCTAGAACTGGTTAGAACCTGCTGAAACCCCCCTCTGCTCCCCATGCCTTTGCAATCTGGTTGTGCCAGCCACTTCGACAATCCTGCCGGGTGCTTAGTCCTCTTTGAAAACAGTCTGGGGTGAAAAGAAAAAAAAACAAACTTCCCCTTACCTTCCGACTTCATGCAAAACTCACCGTTTTCTCCCTGCCGTTCTTGGCTTAGCCGTCTCCGTAAACCCACGTGGTATTTTGAGCCCCACCGTTTGTCCCGCTGGGGGAATTTTGAGAACAATAAGCATGGCGGCTGAAAGGAATACGGGAAGTACCAGGCAGATATCTCTTTATTCGTATCAACTCTTCTTAGGTGCCCCGGGATTTTTAGAAATAACCTCGTCCGCTGGATCATTTCTTTAAAACAAACAAAAATTAAATTTAAGGTCAGCCCCAATTATTTCACCTGGGTAGTCCTTGACTTACAACAGTTCACTTAGGGACCGCTTCAAGTTACAACAGCACTTGAAAAAAAAGTGACTTAACGATTGTTTTTCACGCTTTCGACCGCCGGAGCATCCCCATGGTCGTGCGATCAAAATTCAGAGGCTTGGCAACCGGTTCATACTTATGACCGTTGCCGTCCCCCGGGGTCAGGGGTCACGGGATCGCTCCTTTTGCAACCTTTTGACAAGCAATGGGGAAGCCAGGTTCCCTAAATAACCTTGCTATTAACTTAACCACTGCAGCGACTGCAGTGGCAAGAAACGTCGTAAAATGGGGCAAAACTCACTGAACCAATGCTTCCCTTAACAACAGAAACGTTGGACTCCATTGTCGTCGTAAGTCAAGGACCGCCTGTATTTCAAAGGTATTTGATTCGGCAGCACAGCCGAACAAATCTCTTGTTCGGCTGTGCTCTCTCTCTCTCTCTCTCTCTCTTGCCCCCTCTCTCTCTCTTGCAAGCATGTGATTAAAGTGAAATCATCCTGGAGAATCTCATAAAAAGAAGAAATTAGGGAAAGGAAAAACCTATAAAACCTGGCTCCCCTTAGCAGGCAATTTGGCTGGAGGCAAAACTCAGTTGCATAAATAAGAGCAAATTAAGAGGAAGGTTAAACACACAACACACACACAAATATTTGTATGCTATAAAAATATGAGCTAGAGGTAGGGGAATATCCTGTGATTTTTTGTTCGGCTGGCATTGCCAATGGTTAATTGTCCCACTGCAGCTCTAAACAATCAATTTGAGATGGCAAAAACAGGCAGTAGATACGGAGCAGAGCTGAGGTTTGAATAAAAGGATGGGATTTCAAAATATCGGGCAACGAATGGATATTTGGAGTAGCATTACATCAGCCCTCAATTTTCTCCTAATTTCTGATCAGGTCCGCTCTTCATGCTCCAACACTGGAAGTTTTTAAGAAGATGTTGGATAACCATTTGTCTCAAGTGGTGTAGGGTTTCCTGCCTAAGCAGGGGGCTGGACTAGAAGACCTCCAAGGTCCCTTCCTACTCTGTTATTCTGTTCTGTTCTGTTCTGTTCTGTTCTGTTGTTCTGTTCTATTCTATTCTATTCTAGTCTAGTCTAGTCATTCTGTATTCTATTCTCGCCTATTCTACTTACTCTACTCTACTCTACTCTACTCTACTCTACTCTACTCTACTCTACTCTACTCTACTCCTATTCTGTTTTGTTCTGTTCTGTTCTATTCTATTCATTCTGTATTCTATTCTCTCCTACTCTACTCTACTCTACTCTACTTATTCTATTCTATTCTATTCTATTTATTCTATTCTATTCTATTCTATTCATTCCGTATTTACTTATTTATTCTATTCTATTCATTCTGTATTGTATTCTGTCCTACTCTACTCTACTCTATTCTCTTTTCTATTCTATTCTATTTATTCTATTCTATTCTATTCTATTCTATTCTATTCTATTCATTCTGTATTCTATTTGTCCTACTACTCTACTCTACTCTACTCTATTCTCTATTCTTTTCTATTCTATTCTATTCTTTCATTCTGTATTCTATTCTACTCTACTCTACTCTACTCTACTCTACTCTACTCTACTTACTCTTTTCTCTATTCTATTCTATTCTATTCTATTCTTTCATTCTGTATTCTATTCTACTCTACTCTACTCTTCTCTATTCTATTCTATTCTATTCTATTCTATTCTTTCTTCTGTATTCTATTCTACTCTACTCTACTCTACTCTACTCTATTACTATACTCTATTCTATTCTTCAGTGCTTTTCCTGGGTACAGGGCACTTAAATTTGCAAAAACAGAGTCTAAAATTGTAGCGCGTTTCCCTCCTTTTGAAGAAAAAAAAAAAAAGAGAGTACAGGCATACAGGAACGTTGGTTCCCAATGACGCCCACAACTGAGCCCAAAATTTCTGTTGCAAAGTGAAACAGTCATTAAGTGAATTTTGCCCCATTTTTATGACCTTTCTCACCGTTCTTAAGCGAATCGTTGCGGTTGTTAAGTTAGTGGCAAAGTTGTTAACTGAATCTGGCTTCCCCCCATTGACTTTTGCTTGTCAGAAGGTCGCAAAAAGGGGATCGATCCCCTGACCCCGGGACACTGCGACCCGTCATAAATATGAGTTGGCTGCCAAGCGTCGGGATTGTGATCACGTGACCACGGGGATGCTGCGATGGACGTAAGTATGAAAAATGGTCATGCATCCCTTTTTTTCAGTGCCGTTGTAACTTTCAACAGTCACCGAACTGTTGCAAGTCGAGGACTAGCTATAAAATAAATGCAACTCACCTTTTTAAACTCCATAAGCTACCAGCCCTTGAAAACAATCAGTGAAAAGAATGAAATTCTCACCCACAATCCTCCTATTCCTCTTCTCCTGGGGCGCCCGTCTGCCAAAATAATAATTTTGACAAATGAAAATCAGCTAAATCAAAAGCTTACTTGTTTTGGAAGGGGCCGATTATCCTTAAAACCCTCCAGCATGCCCTTTGGTAGCCCATCAAAAGGTTAAATGCTCATCTTTATATCTTGCGACAGTTCAGTTCCTTCCCCATTGGTATCTTCCATCGTAAAGCCAACTTTTCTACCAGCCTCCTCTCACAAACTTCATTTCTTTTCTTTTCCTGGAAGTTGGAGAGTTGTTCGATTTAGCAGGGCAGAATTAGCAAGCATTTTTAGCCTTTTCAAACAGGGGGTGGGGAAAAAATCCAGCTTTCCCAAATCTCAAAACAATCTAAAAACGCACACTGAAATAGCCAAAGAAGCAATATTAAATTCAATAAGATTAAGATGCCTGTTTACACATTTAAATACCCAACAGAGTTGGTAGCCGATTCCTTAAAATGTTTTTTGGAGATGCTTGGCTGCAAACGGACTTCATCGGTTCCACAACGATCTCTTCCTGATATTTTATCCTTCTTGACATTCAAGTCCACGGAGGGAAAGAAACAACTCCAGAAAATGATAATTTTTTATTCCTTCCACAACGGCGTGGAAAAGGGCCTCGATGCTTCTGCTCCGCTGTCAAGGATTTGATCTTGAAACTGCAGCTTTTTAAATTTTTTATTCAATCTCTGTCCACACACGCCGGCCACGCCGGTTTTTTTGAAAAGCAACTATTCAGTCAAAGCCCCAGCCGAGCCGTGTGCAAGTCAAGAATTCGAATCTGAACGCCGACTCTGTTCCATCGGAAGACCGAGAGAGAAAGATCTTAGAAAGCGAGCCAAACTCGCGTCGAAAGTGGCTGTTTCTTTTGACACCTGGGGTCACATTTCCAGCTTTAAAAAAAAGAGTCGAATCGGTCCTTGGAGTCTGGCAGAATTGAAAGAAAGAGTCGGGAGATTACGTTGGTAGCCAAACAACGCATAACTTCAGCTCTTCTGTTTTACAAATTCGGGATCCGGTGATCTTTTTTTCCTGGTGCCACCCAAACCTATTTGCCTTTGGCTATTGAATCTGAAGGCCTCCCGCCCGCCAAGCCTCTGCTTCACCTGTTGAGCTACCTAATGAGCCCCTGCTCTGTAGCTGTTGGCCAACTGACCTGGAGTGTCGAAACGTGACATCACAGCCTCTCCATTGTGACCCGGGCGTAAGTCATCTTCCAGCAGTATGGCTTCAGAGCAGGAAGTAGTTTCTACACCGACTCGCTGGGAACCAAGGATCTGCAAGAAGAAACTCCTTAGCTTCCCGCCCCGTTTGACTCTCCGAAGACCTCTGTGCTTCTCAGGTGCCCCTCTCTTAACTTATGCGGGAAAGAGGTTGCGGGCGCGCGGGGCCAGCGTGCAAAAATCAGACGAGGGAGTTACGAGAAAACCAGAGACGAGGGACTTGCGGGGAATTTAGGAGGAACTGTTAACGCTTGGAGGGATGCCTGCGGGAGTGACAGTCAACAGGTGTCTGACGTTGTGCCAAGGGACAACCGGGGTAGGGATCGAGGGGGGCTAAAGAGTCCCTATCTCAGGACGGTTGTAAAGTCCATTGGAAGGGCAGACTGGACGATACCCAACCCCACTTCCCAAAAACTACTTAAAGAGGGCATGAGGAATTCCGAAGAGGCCTTATTATATTTTAACTAATTTTGCTCCGACTGATGGAAGTTGCTTAGACGAGCAACGAAACCTCTCCGATTCACCAAGTTTGGTCCAGTTTTGCCAGGATCCAACCTTTAGACACTTTTCGTCTTCGTTGACGTCTTGCGTTTTCTCATTTGGGGCTGCCAGTCGCCTCTCCGGCGTACCTGAGATCTAACTGTCCCCCCCCCCAACCCATCCTCACCCCTGACTGTCCTTTGTGCCTTTCCCAAAGAACCACTTCTCCATACGGAGAAGACGGACCACGCGCAGTTGATTTTAGAATCCAGTTCCAGATTCCCTCCGTCGTAGGTGCTGCTGTCGAGCTGGTTCCTCTCGGCCGCAACCGATTTAAAATCTGGTCCCATGTTAACTGACCGAAGCTGGTCTGGCTTTTAGGATGGATGAACGAAAGACCGCTGGATGGCAATGAAAGAGCAGCTGCCCTACGTTTAGGCTTCCGTTGGTTCCCATACTACAACGAAGCAGGTGAGCCCCACCGGGTGACAAAGCTGCCCAAAAGACGCCCGGGACAGATTCATCCAAGGGTTCAAAGCAGCGCAACCCATCAACAAGTAGGTGAGACTGAGTATTATTATTATTTTTCTTCAGCAAAGCAGAAGAAGGCATTGTGGAGTGGTTGTAAACTAACCTAGTTAATGTGAGCTGATAACATGAGCGTGTTTTTGGGGTAGATTCAGAAAAAGGGAACTGGATAAGCTGGAGTGAAATCCCCACATCGAAAGAGAGGACAAATAATCCAACACTGAGCTTGTCGATCAGAAAGGTCGGCAGTTCGGCGGTTCGAATCCCCACAACGGGTCTCCTGCGCGAGCAGGGGGTTGGACTAGATGACCTCCAAGGTCCCTTCGAACTCTGTTTCTGTTACCGTTAAACCAGGGGTCCCCAATACCGGGCGGTGGCCCATTCAGACTGTAGAAAGTTAGCACCCACCCCTCTCCTAGAAGAATGAAATGCTTTGAGAAATATTAAAAAAGGCAAAATAATATATTTCCCCGGATGATAAAAGAAGAAACATGTTTTAAAGACAGAGGGCAGCTCCCTGCCCCCAGCAGACATTTGGAGCCCATTGAGAAAGACTAGGCCAGCTGATCCACAAGACAAAAAGACCTCCAGTTCCAGGGTGATGGGATTAAGACATAACCCTTCAGGACATAATAGGATTAACCCAGGAGTGGGTTCTACTTACCTTTACTACTGGTTCGCAACGGGATCGCATGCGCGCAGATTACCGATGACTCCATCCTGGGCAGTGGGTGGAGCCTTCCGCTGGTTTTACTACCGGTTCTTGCGAACCGGTCCGAACCGGGAGCAACCCACCATTGGATTAACCCATCTAGCAGCAGAGCTCACCACATGGCACAATTTATTTATTTATTTTTATTTTATTAAATTTCTATACCGCCCTTCTCCCGAAGGACTCAGGGCGGTGAACAGCCAGAAGATAAAACACAGAAATACAAAAATTTAAAATAGATTAAAAACGGATTAAATAATTTGGCTGAATTTAAAATACCCCATAATTTAAACAGATTAAAATTTGTATTTAAAATTTAAATTTAAAAGGGGAGAAGATTTAGGCCAGGCCAGCTTGATGAAATAAAAAAGTTTTAAGCGCGCGACGGAAGGTGCGCAGATCCGGGATCCTCCGTATGTCCGGGGGGAGCTCGTTCCAGATCGTAGGTGCCCCCACAGAGAAGGCTCTCCCCCTAGGGGCCGCCAGTTGACATTGTTTGGCCGACGGCACCCAGAGGAGCCCCTCTCTATGGGAGTGTACTGGCCGGTGGGAGGCTATTGGTGGTAGCAGGCGGTCCCATAGATAATCACCTGGGGACGTTGCATCACCCAGCAAACTTCAACCAAACCCCGGACTCAGACAACCTACAGAGTTAGCTATGATCCCTACAACAGCCAATAGAATACATGTTCTTGCACAGGAACAGGAAGCTCAAGTGCAAAGCCCAAGAATAGGTATAAATACCTCCCCACTCTCAACTCCATGTGATCAGCTGCCCAGAACCACCCATCTGCTTCTGCTTCCCCATTAAACCATCTTTCCAATCAGCCTCCATGTTTCCAGTGTCTTTCTCCCGGCTTGGAACTGAACCCAGATGGATATTATTCCCCAACGGGACCCGGGCTGCAGAAGTGGTAGGCGAGCACGCACGAAGCTCCATTCACACAAGCAGCTGGCACACCCTGTCCGGCGCTTGTGCAAATGGGGCTGTGCATGCACACGCACTTACCTTTCCCCCCTCTCTGCCCCTCCCCACCGGTCCGCAAAGCTAGAAAGATTGGGGACCGCTGGTTGAGACGGTTCGAAGTTACAACGGCCCTGAAAAAAAGTGACTTGTGACAGTTTTTTCACACTTAATGTCCATCGCAGGTGATCCAAAATTCGGGAGCTTGGCAACCGACTCATATTTGCGACAGTCGCCGCGTTCCAGGGTCGCGTCATCCCCTTTTGCGACCTTCCGACAAGCCAAGTCAAATGGGGAAGCCCGATTCACTTAACAACCACGTTACTGACTTAACAACTGCGGTGATTCACTTAACAACATGGCAAGAAAAGTCATAAAATGGGGCAAAACCCCACTTAACAATTGTCTCACTTAGCAACATACATTTTTTGGGTTCGATTGTAGTCGTAAATTGAGGACAACCTGTAGCAAGTTTTCCTTCCTTCTCTTCGTTATTTCCACCTTCAAAAATTCAAATAGCTAAAATTCTAGTCCACCACTGGTTGGCCTAGAGGACCTCTTGGGACCTCCCTGTTGTAGGATTCTCTGATTGGTTGTCTCCTTTTTGACCGACCGCACGAGAAACCCAGGGAAGCCCCCTGGCGGGACCCTAATCTTCTTCTCTTCGACAGATCCCAAGGTCGTAGAAAACAAGAAGCAGAAATACAGAGCTCTTTTTCCAAGCCAGGCCCTGAAGCAGTGGAAGACATACAAGCAAAGCGGTAGGAATTCGGTGCATCCCACCCACCCACCTCCTTCCACCCCACTTCTGATAGAGAAGGAGACTCCAAAATCTCTCCAGTCTGGCACTAAATGCAGCTTTGGGGAGGAAAAGAGCCCCCCCACTCGAATTTCAAGGAGGGGTGAGCAGGGCTTTAGTGGGCTGCTGGCCCCACTTAATGTTTGGGGGAAAGGGTGGGCTGCATTGATATATTGGTATGTGAGAATGACCTTGGGAAGCTGGAGGAAGAGATGCTGCCTAGGGAACGGTCAGATAAGAGACAGCGTAGCCCTCAGCTGCATAGTGGGTGGAGCAAGGGCAGTTGTATCCTCCACTTTATACCTGCCAGCTGTACCACACCCCCAATTACATCTTTGATCTATTATGGATCCAAGGATCCATAATCCCTTGCGTCTCCCATATTTGCACATCTAGTTTTGGTCACCACTATATTAAAAAGAGAGGGGGGGGGAGGAAGGAAGGGAGGAAGGAAGGAAGGAAGGAAGGAAGGAAGGAAAGAAGGAAGGAAGGAAGGAAATAGAGAAGGAGGGAGGGGAGGGTGGGAGGAAGGGTGTGAGGGAGGGAAGGAAGGAAGGAAGGAAGGAAGGAAGGAAGGAAGGAAGGAAGGAGGGAAGGAGCCTTGGTGGCGCAGTGGCTAAAGTGCTGTTAAAGTAAAGCCAGCTGCCTGCAATTACTGCAAGTTCAAATCTCACCAGGCTCAAGGTTGACTCAGCCTTCCATCCTTTCGAGGTAGGTAAAATGAGGACCCGGATTGTAGGGGCAATAAGCTGACTTTGTATAAAAAAGAACACAGCTTGGGGTGGGGGGGGGAAGCCCTACTAAGCAGGTATGTACAAAAGTATGAAGGCTATTGCTTAACGCATTGTAAGCTGCCCTGAGTCTCCGGAGAAGGGCGGCATATAAATCAAACCAATAAATCGAACCAATAAAGGAAGGAAGGAAGGAAGGAAGGAAGGAAGGAAGGAAGGAAGGAAGGAAGATAGGAAAAAGGGAGAGAGAGGGGGAAGAGAAAGGAAACAAAGGGAAGAAGTTATAGGGAATAAGGAAAGAGGGAGGAAGGAAGGAAGAAGATTACACTGTAAATGGAAATTTATTCAAAATGTTTAATATTAATCTCTGCAAAAAGAAGTTGGGAGAACTATTCCCCAATCATTGCAATATCACATTTAGTTTTGGTCACCACTATATTAAAAAAGAGAGATAGAGACGGAGGGAGGGAAGGAAGGAAGGAAAAGGAAGAAAGGAGAAAGAAGAAAGAAAGTAAAGGGAAGGAAGGAAGGAAGGAATATGAATTGGGGACTGGAGACTAAAACATACGATGAACGGTTGCAGGAACCGGGCACGGCTAGTCTAGTGAAGGGAAGGACCAGGGGAGACATGATAGCAGTCTTCCAATATTTGAAGGCTGCCCCAGAGAGGAGGAAGGAGGTCAAGCTATTTTCCAGAGCACCCGAAGGCCAGATAAGGAACAATGGATGGAAACTGATCAAGGAGAGATCCAACCTGGAAATAAGGAGAAAGTTCTTGGCAGTGAGAACAATCAACCCATGGAACAGAAGTTGCCTTCGGAAGTTGTGGGAGCTTCATCACTTGAGATTTCAAGAAAAGATCGGACTGCCATTTGTCAGAAATGGTGTAGGGTCTCCTGCTCGAGTGGGGTGGGGGGTTGGACTAGATGATCTAAAAGGCCCCTTCCAACTCTGTTAATCTGTAATCTGTCCCCTCTTGAACCCTTCCGGTGGCCTAGCTGGACCCAAGAGCGTTTACGCCTCCTCCTCCTCCTCATTCCAGGGGTTCCCAGAGTCGCCAGAGGGAGATTCACATATGAATTCAGTTCAAAAAAGCCCAGAACCCTCCTGAATGCGGCGCTCCGAATGAGTCACCTGGAAGAGAGAAGAAATGAAGAAGGCCCAGGATCGGGGCCGTTCTTTTACATCGGCGGAGCAAATGGGGTGGAAATGTAAGGAGAAAGCCCTGGGTACCCCCCCCTAACCCTTGAGGGAGGAATGCTACATCAGGGAGGGGGGTCGCACTAGATCCGCGGTCGCCAACTGGTGGTCTGCGAGAAAATTTTGGTGGTCCGCAGAAAAATTATTTGCATTTTTTAATATTGCACTCAATCAGGGGTCCTCAAACTACGGCCCCTGGGACAGATACGTGCAATGAACATTTGTGTTGCTGCAGAGAGTCTTCCCCCTTCGGGGTCTTTTTGTGTGGGTCGGAGGGGGGCAGAAATTCTGACTTGGGGGTCTGCTTTGTGGGGCTTTGGGCGAAGGTTGGAAGGAAGCGCCGCTGATGGCGAAGAGCCGGAGAGCCTCGTTCCAGTGGGATTGAATCATGGCCTGGAACTGGCTGAGCATCTCAGCCCGCTGAGCCTCCAGGCGCCGGTACCTGGCCTTGCACTCCCGCAGGTCTTCCCTCTGCTTGGAAAGCCTATGCTCCTAGTCCTCAGTGAGGTACTTCTGCTGAGCCTCCTTCTTGGCCAGATCCAATTTGAACTGAGCTGTTTTGCCAACTCTTTCTCCTGGTGGCTGCTTAGCTCCAACAACTGCTTCCTGTTGGGGCCCTAAGGAGCCCGGGAGGGGGAGGGGAGGGGTGTCTGGGAGGGGAGGGGCGAGTAGAGGCCGGTGAGGCTCCCCTCAACGTGAGTGACATCGAGTTGTCCCCGCCCACCCAGTCACATGACCACCTAGCCATGCCCACCCAGCTGGTCATTAGGCAGATCGTATTAGTGGTACGCGAGATTTAAAATTATGAATTTAGTGGTCCCTGAGGTCCGAAAGGTTGGGGACCCCTGGACTAGATGGCCTTTGTGGAGCCCTCTCAGCTATAGGACTCTGAGCTTAGGAAGCGAAAGGATTTGGGAGCGACTGGCTATTACAGGTAGTCCTTGGCTTACAGCCAATTTGTTTAGTGACGGAAGTTACAATGGCACTGAAAAAAAGTGACCAATCACCTTATTATCGTTGCAGCGACATCCTCCTGGGCTGAATTTTAGATCATGTGATCTAAAACTGAATTTTAGATCATGTGATCTAAATTTAGGCGCTTGGCAGCTGGCTGTGTATTTATGACGGTTGCACCGTCCCAGGGTTATGAGATTTTCCCCCTTTTGCGACCTTCCCAGCCGGCTTCCGACAAGCGAAGGCGATGGGAGAAGCCAGATTCATTTAGCGACTGCAGGTTTCGCTTAATGACCACAGCGATTCGCTTAACAACGGTGGCAAAAAAAAAAAAGGTTGCGAAATGGGAATGAATAACTGCCTTGCTTAGCCGTGGAAATTTGGGGATTCCGTTGCGGTCGTAAGTTTGAGGACTGCCTGTACTTCTAGAGGGTTATCTTTTCACCTTGCCTCTTTGTTTCTCTCACACAGCCTGAGTAATTACTGCAAAAGTAAAGGGTGGCAACGGATTTATGACAACCGGAGGGAAGACTACGCCTTGAAATGGTGCGAGACCAAGTTTCGGGACACCTATTGCAACTTCCGAGAAGGTATGGGCCAGGTTTCCGGTCAAGAGAAGCTGGAAGAAACAAGGGCAGATTCAGAATTTTGGGAGGTCCAGGAGCAGAGTAGGGATAGAAAGAAAGAAAAAAAATTTGTAGCTCAGAGTTGAACTGTGGGGTCCTTGGTGCTCTCTGAGCTGGGTTGTTTTGCTGCAGATGTTTCATTATCAAACTAGGTAACATCATCAAGGCTAGAAGGGAATGGGGAGGAGAAGGATTGTAGGGTCCTTGGTGTCTTTGAGCTTGGCTGTTTCAAGATGTTTCATTACCCAACTAGGTAACATCAGCAGGGCTAGAAGGGGGTGGGGGGAGGAGGAGGACTGTGAGATCCTTGGTGCTCTCTGAGCTTGGTTGCTTTCTTGCAGACGTTTCATGACCCAACTACATAACATCATCAGTACTAGAAGGGAGTGGGATTTTCAGGGAGGAGGATTATGGGGTCCTTGATTATTTTCTTGCAGACATTTCCTTACCAAACTAGATAATGTCATCCCTCCTAGAAGGGAGTGGGGTTTGAGGAGTGGAGGAAGAGGTGGAGGAGGCCTGTGCAGTCCTTGGTGCTCTCTGAGCTCGGTGGTTTTTCTCGCAGGTGTTTCATTACCCAACTAGGTAACCTCTTCAGTTCAGAGCACATCAGTCCGTCGTAACTTGGAACGGTCATTAAGCGACCGGTCGTTAAGCCAGGGCTGCCTGTAATGCCTTCTTCATCTCCTCTGCTGCCTGAGCCCTTGTTTTTTTTGTTCCCCTGCCCATTCAGGAGAGCAGCTTCTTTACCAGATCCCAAACAACAAGATCCTGACGACAAAGATCGGCCTGTTGATGAACCTCCGGGAATATGAACGGGTGATGAGGAAGGTCGGCCAGACAGCCAAGTAAGCCCCTCACTCGCTTAACCTTACGGGTATTTCTCTCTCTTGAAAAGGTTCACGGCTCGTTTTCTCCTGGGAAGCCCACTGACCTCCATATCATTCATTCCAGAGTTCTTGGAGGTCAAAGGGGGTTTAGCAGGGGTGAAATGCTACCGGTTCGCACCGGTTCGGGGGAACCGATAGTGCTGAAAGCTACCGGATCCGGCAAACTGGTAGAAAGGATTTCCTGGTAGAAAAGATTTCCTGCTTTCTACCGATTTTAAATCGTGCTCCACAGCTGATCGTCAGAAATACCGATTCGAACAAACCCGTAGCTTTTTTTTTTACTATTGGTAGTTTTTATCACTATCGGTTCGCCAGACCCGGTGCAAACTGGTAGCATTTCATCGCTGGGCCCGATTACTAACTTAACAACTGCCAGTGATTCACTTTAACAGGTGTTGCAAAGTGGGGCAAAACTCACTTAGCAACCGAAATTTTAGGCTCAATTGTGCTTGCAAACCGAGGACTGCCTGTACAAGGCTTGGTTGGCTTGGTTAAAATTTGGATGGGAGACCACCCAGAGATGTAGGCTAGAATTGAAAATCCTCCTGGTTGAAAAAAGCGATTTTGCATCATTTTGGAACTGCCAAGAACATCGCCATCCGATGTTCATTTTCAAACAGAAAAGTTTGAAACACTTTTTAAAGTTCTATGCATGTTTCCGTAATGTCTGGTAGCCGGTGATGTATTGGCATGGCTGTTATTGACAGTGACATAAAATAACTGAAACAATTCCAACTCAATAATCCACACGGCGAGAATAAACAAGATTCCTAACGAAGGGCAAAACGTTGTATTGAAATTATGTCCAATTATGTCCTAAACATTATATTGATATTATGTCCACCAGCAATGGATGGGAAATAATCAAGGAGAGAAACAACTTAGAATTAAGGAGATATTTCCTGAGAACAATGAACAACTTGCCTTCAGAAGTTGTAGGTGCTTCATCACCGGAGGTTTTTAAGAAGATGTTGGATAACCATTTGTCTGAAGTGGTGTAGGGTTTCCTGCCTAAGCAGGGGGTTGGACTAGAAGACCTCCAAGGTCCCTTCCGACTCTTGTTATTTCTATTCTATTCTATCCCATTCCATATTTTCTATTCTATTCTATTCTATTCTATTCTATTCTATTCTATTCTATTCTATTCTATTCTATTCTATTCTATTCTATTCTATTCTATTCTATTCTATTCTATTATTTCTATTTCTATTTCTATTAATTCTTTAAAACATGTCTGTGTGTGAGCTTATTAATATTCAATTTTTTCCCCCCGCTCTCCCTTTTCTCGCAGATTGTTAAAAATGGAAGATTTTTTCCCGGAGACTTTTCGTCTGGACACCAAAGACGAGAGAGAAGTCTTCTTTGAAATATATAAAGGTGAACACCAAAGCAACGATTCTGTCCCCCCCCCTTTTCAAGACCATTAATATATTTCAAACGGTGGGTTCTAACAAGAAAAGACAGGGGCGGGTTGAGATTTTGGTCTTCAAATATGCCAAATCGAGCAAGTGACATCATCTGCCTTGTGATGTCCTTTGCTTGATGATGTCACGATTCCTGTGATGTCACAGGCGTTCCTCACGGGTGGAAAGGTACAGCTGGCCCTGTTTTGCTCCCCACCAACGTGAACTAACAGGTGGAAAGAATATACAGGTAGTCTTCGACTTACAGCCATTCGCTTAGTGACCGTCCAAAGTTACAACTGCATTGAAAAAAAAGAGACTTTTTCTCACTTAACGACCGTTGCAGCATCCCCATAGTCTCATGATCAAAATTCAGGCGCTTGGCCGCTGGCTCGTATTTACGATGGTTGTGTGTCCCAGAGTCGGGTGGTCCACTCTGGTGTGATTTTTCTCACAAACAAAATTGACGGGGAAAGCCAGATTCACTTAACAAATGTGTGATTATTAACTTAACGAGTGTGGTGAGTCGCTTAAACAACCGTGGCCAGAAACGTCGTAAAATGGGACAGGACTCACCGAGCCACTGTCTCGCTTAGCAACATAAATTTGGGGCTCTGTTAGTGGTCGTAAGCCGAGGATTACCTGTCTTTTGGATCGGTTTCTGCTCCAGAATGTGAAAAATTGAGTCAGTCGATAGATCTTTTGGGGTGGTAAGTGGCAAAAAACAACAACATCGTGCTTTGAAGTCATCGAAATCAGAAAAATCAAGAGACTGACCTCCTTTGATCCCTGCCAGGACTTCAGTGGTGTGGTTGCATCTTCCATCTTGACTTTTTTGACCACCCCTGGGAGACCTCTATACAAAGCTGGGTCTTCCCCTGCCGAATTTAACGTCCAAAGAGCAACCTCATTGCTCTCTGACTAGGCTGGGTGGCTGCCCCTTTTTCCCAGAGTGATCCTGCAAGGTTCTCGGGCTCTATAAACCAGGGACTAGCAACTCAAGCAGCTTTCTCCTTCTCCTTTCTCCGCAGAGCCTCACATTTGGATCTGCAAGCCCACCAGCTCCAACCAAGGCCGAGGCATCTTCCTCCTGAAAAGCCAAACCGAGGTCCGAAGCTTGCAAGCCAAACTCCAAAGCGTGGAGGACGAGTCGACGTATAAGAAGCTCCCTTACAAACTGCCTCAGGCACGAATCGTCCAAAGGTAGAGAATCCGCCATGCAGCTGCCCAGCTATCCAGCTCTCGGCTGGTGAGCGACATCGGAGCCCTTCTCGGACTTGAGCTAAAACCCAGAGCGGGGAGCGGGGGGACGGGGGATTCAGGCAGAGACACGACACAGCGCTCTCCCTGGGCATCCTAGCCCATCGGTGGGGGAAAGATTTCACCGAATGAGGCCCCGTGGGATGAGCCTTTATTTAGTTTACTTTATTGTCATTGCACCTCGTACAACGAAATTAAATGCCATCTTCAGTCTACATCATCCATAAGAAAACTATAAAAAAATAAAACAAAAACACACACCCTTCCCATTCTATATACAATTGAATTGAAAACTCCTGATATTGCATTAACATTGCACTATACAGCAGAATTCAATCTAGTTACTGCCCTGGGATAGAAGCTGTTTTTCAGCCTATTTGTCCTTATCTTTATTGTCCTGTACCGGCTTCCAGATGGTAATAGTTCAAAAAAAAAAAGGATGAGATGGATCTTTAAGAATGTTAAGGCAGCGGGAGCTATCAAGCTCTTCCAAAGAGGGGAGAGGGCAACCCATGATCCTCTGGGCAATGACGTTGATCCTCTGGAGCGCCGTCCTATCTGCCACTGTGCAATTGGCAAACCAGACACCGGTGCAGTAAGTTAAAATGCTCTCTGTGAAGACCACCAGCAGTTTTTCATTCAGTTGTTGTTTCCTGAGAAGTCTCAGGTAGTAAAATCTCTGCTGGGCCCTTTTGACCAGGGCTGCAATGTGAGCGCCCCAGGTCAGGTCCTCTTTTTATGGTAACAACCCAGAAACTTAAAACTAGCCCCTTGCTCCACTCGGTCTCCGTCGATAAGCAAGGGCTGGATGTCTGATCTGTTTCTTCTATAGTCCACTATAAGCTCCTTTGGTCTTATTGGTGCCAAGGACCAAATTATTGTCTCCACACCACGAAAGCAACCGGTCCAGCTCGTCTCGATAGGCAGACTCATCCCCCCCCCACCCAGTGGGATTCAGCCAGTTTGGGTGAATCGGTAGTTAAAATGCTGGCTGGCCCCTCCCCTCCCCACTCCTTCCAGGAGTCCCCATGAGCCCCATTTTCACTCAGGGAGGCTTCCTAGGCCCAAATGGGGTGCAGGGGGTTGACGTGCCCCCCCCCATGGCCCATTTTCGCTCCCAAGAGGCTGCAGGGAGGCATACTAGGCCCAAAATGGGGCATAGGGAGAGGGAGGCGCGTCCCCCCCCATGGCCTGTTTTTGCTTCCAGGAGTGGGTGCAGGAGGCCGAGTACTGCCGGTCACACCCCCTGCCCATGCCCACCATGGCCACGCCCACCCAGCCGGTCATTAGGGCAGAGAACCGGTTGTTAAATTATCTGAATCCCACCACCGATCCCACCGCTGTTGTATCATCTGCAAATTTAATAATAGCATTACTGGCGTGAGAGGGGAAAGGCGGGGAGAGAAAAGCGGGAGATTTCGAAAGATAATTTCCGCCTGGGAAGTCGAAGGAGGGCTTCAAAGAGGCCGACGGGCCCGCGTTGTGCGAATTGAACGCGGCAGGAACAGCTGCCTCGAACCTTTTTGGATTCAGGAGCTATTTTGGTATTCCAGAGAGAGCCCTTTTTTAAAATGGTTATTTATAGCTTTCAGAAAGGATATTCAGGGTTGCATCGGAGAGAGGGATGACGGAAAAAAAACAAAAAACCACAAATCCTTTGGCGTCGCTGGAGTGGAAAAATTACAAATTACACCCTGTGGAAAAGCCGCACGGGGACCCTGAACCCAACCATGGTGGGGCTTCCGGCACCAAGAACAGCCCCATGGGGGTTGTAGTCCTCCACGATCCAGAGAGTTAAGTGCCCAGGTGACTTAGAAGCACCTGTTTTGTTTTCAGCCAGCTCACCTGCCCTTCCTTCGCCCTCAGGTACATCGACCGCCCGCTGCTGCTGGAGGGGAAAAAATTTGACGTCCGCTCTTACCTGCTGATCGCCTGCACGGTGCCGTACATGGTCTTTTTCGGCCACGGTTACGTCCGCCTCACCTGCCTCAACTACGACCCCAAATCCAATGATCTCACTTCTCATCTGACCAACCAGGTGGGAATTGCCTTGCGCCCAACCGGGGAATCTCACCATTTTAGAACAGAACAGAGCAGAGCAGAGCAGAACATAGAATACAACGGAACAGAATGGAGAATAGGAATGGAATGGAATGGAATGGAATGGAGTGGAATGGAGTGGAGTGGAGTGGAGTGGAGTGGGGTAGGGTAGGGTAGGGTAGAATAGAATAGAATACAATAGAATAAAGTGGAATGGAATAGAAAAAATGGAATGGAATGGAATAGGACAGGACAGGACAGGATAGGACAAAACAGGAATAGAATGGAATGGAATGGAATGGAATGGAATGGAATAGAACAGGACAGGAATAGAATAGAATAGAATAGAATAGAATAGAATAGAATGGAATGGAATGGAATGGAATGGAATGGAATAGAATAGAATAAAATAGAATTAGAATTAGAATAGAATAGAATAGAATAGAATAGAATAGAATAGAATAGAATAGAATAGAATAGAATAGAATAGAATAGAATAGAATAGAATAGAAAAAATGGAATGGAATGGAATGGAGTGGAGTGGAGTGGAGTGGAGTGGAATAGAAAAAAATGGAATGGAATGGAATGGGATGGAATGGAACAACAGAACAGAACAGAACAGAACAGAACAGAACAGAACAGAATAATTGGAAGGGACCTTAGAATAGAATAAGACCGGACAGGACAGGACCGGACAGAATGCAGGATAGGATAGGTTTGGGGGGGAGGGAAATCAAAGGTCGTAAAATCGTGCATGACTCCCTTAACAACAGGAAATTCGTTTGCAGTCGTAAGCCGAGGGCCACCTGTGCCTAGATTCTCTTCCCCACTCCCCCTCCCCCCCCCAATTCTTCCTCTTGAAGGGTCCAGGTGCTGACAAAAGAGACGTCTCTGGCAAACAGAGCCCTGAGGAGCAGGTGTGGATTGTCTCTGGGCACCTGGTGCAGTGGGCAAGCTATTGCCTTTGTGTTGCCCGATTCAGACGTCTTGTTTGGCTTTGCGTTAAAGACAGCCGTTGGCAGCGGATGCTCCGCAGAGACTCCTGGCCAAAAAAAAAGATGTCAACGTTATTACGGGGTTTTATTTTGTCTTTTTTGTTTTATTTTCAAGAGACCGAGTTATCTCCTGGAATCCAGCAGGGTTTGAAATCTTGCCGAAGCGGCTGACAAACTCCGTATCCCCCCCTCCCCCACCCTCCATCCCTTTTCTCGTCCCTGCAATTGGATCCTGCTTCTCTTTTCTTAGGCCGAATGCTTTGCCCAGGGAAGTGGAAATGGATTTGGAAAGCAGAATGCTGGGGTTTTGTGTTTGTCTTTTTTTTTTTTTTTTGCTTCTGCTTTTTGTCCTCTGCAGAATTTAGCAAACCGGTCTAAGCAAGAGGCAAAAAACCTAAATTTTGCCTCATTTAACTCAAATAGTTAATAAGATTAAATGCAGCTAGTTGAAGAAATCTCGCTCCCTCTCTCCCTCTATCCACCCACCCACCATCCATCCATCCATCCATCCATCCATCCATCCATCCATCCATCTATCTATCTATCTATCTATCTATCTATCTATCTATCTATCTATCTATCTCTCCCTCTCTCAATCTTTCTTTCTTTTGCAAGAGCTGAGATTTTAAATCATCTTCATTTAACTCAAATTAAATAGTTAATAAGATTAAATGCAGCTAGTTGAAGAAATCTCACTTCCTCTCTCCACCCACCCACCCACCCACCCACCCA